CAGCCCATATATCTGCCTGCAGGACTTAAATTGGCAAGCTTTCAAGAGCAAAGTACTCTTACCATACGGTCACTCCAACTGTCGGTGGATGTAAAGAAACCCCACGCCAACTCGTACCGCGACTATTCTGCCAGCATTGACCGTATGATTAACAACTCACTTCCATCAACTGAACGGTCGCTGCTGCAGGAGGTGATCACACGCTACGCCTCAGTTTTTGACTTTGCCCAAGACGAGACGTCTACCGTTACGCCACCGTCTTCACGTACGCAACACCGCATCTATACAGGCCAAGCACCACCAATACGCCAGAAGCCCTATCGTGTCTCGCCTTCCGAAAGGAAAGTCATCGCTGAGCAAGTTGAAGACATGCTAAAGAAGGGCGTCATACAAGAATCGTGTAGTCCATGGGCAGCTCCTGTCATTCTAGTGAGGAAAAAGGAGAATTCATGGAGATTCTGCGTAGACTATCGTCGCCTAAATGCCATCACAAAAAAAGACGTCTACCCTTTGCCACGTATAGATGACGCCGTAGACTGCCTGCATTCTGCCTCCTATTTTTCTTCTGTTGACTTGTGTTCTGGGTATTGGCAAATTCCTATGCATCCCTCAGATAAAGAGAAGACGGCCTTCGTAACACCAGACGGTCTCTTTGAGTTCAACGTTATGCCCTTTGGTTCGTGCAATGCTCCAGCGACATTCGAGACATTTATGGATAGAGTACTCCGTGGACTAAAATGGGAAATTTGCATGTGCTATTTAGATGACGTGATTATCTACGGCAAGACTTTTCAAGAGCATAACCACCGCTTGTCGCTTGTATTTGAATGCTTACGCGAAGCTGGCCTTGTTTTAAACTCAAAGAAGTGTCATTTTGGAGAACGTCAAGCCCTCGTATTAGGCTTTCTCGTGGATAAAGAAGGCGTGCGACCAGACCCACAGAAGACCGCAGTGGTTCGCAACTTTGAACCACCACGAACAGTGAAGGACCTGCGAAGTTTTCTGGGTCTTTGCTCATATTTCCGCCGATTTATTAAGAACTTCGCACAACTTGCCTCGCCACTGACGTCCCTTCTTCATAAAGACGCACCGTACTTGTGGGATGATAAATGTGAGGCTGCATTTCAACAGCTGAAGTTTTTATTGACTTCAGGACCCATCCTAAAGCATTTTGATCCTGATGCTTTGACTCAATTTCATACTGATGCTAGTGGGCTAGGTGTTGGTGCTGTGCTGGTCCAACTCTGCAACAGTCGCCAGCACGTCGTAGCATATGCCAGTCGGACACTGACCAGAGCAGAGACGAACTACACCGTCACCGAGCTCGAGTGCTTAGCAGTCGTCTTCGCCATTCAGAAGTTCCGACCGTATCTACATGGCCGCGAGTTCACAATAGTGACCGATCACCACTCACTATGCTGGCTTGTGGGACTTCGTGACCCGTCTGGTCGGCTGGCTCGTTGGGCGTTGCGCCTCCAAGAGTACAGCTTTTCTGTTACCTATAAGAGCGGACGATGTCACACAGATGCCGACTGCTTATCCCGCCTTCCTTCAGTACACACCAATGCTGACGACAATGACATTGATGACTATTTAGTTTCTGTCTCGTCCGACTTCCCAGATACCAGCAGCTTCAAACGTGAGCAGCAGCGCGACCCTACTCTGAAACCTTTGCTCGAAGCTGCACATAACTCCGTCGACAAGCACTTTAAAATTTCAAATGGCTTGCTGTATAAAAGAAACTATTCAGCCGATGGCCTCCCGTTGCTTCTAGTGGTGCCGGATAGCCTGCGCCAGGTCGTCCTTTGTTCTGCGCACGATGACATAACATCCGGTCATCTCGGTTTCACACGTACGCTGCATCGACTACGTGAGAGGTTCTACTGGCCGAAAATGTGGAAGACCACAAAACAGTACGTCACCAGCTGCGCTATATGTCAGCGCCACAAGCCATCCACCACTGCCCCGGTGGGTTATTTGCAGCCCATCCCTCCACCGACATCCCCTTTTGAAAAAGTCGGCATTGACTTGCTCGGACCCCTTCCTAAGACCCCATCGGGCCACCGATATGTTATAGTGTGCGTGGTATATTTAACGCGTTATACGGAAACGGACGCACTGACATCGGCCACAGCAGCCGCTGTTTCTTCTTTTCTGTTACAACGGGTCATACTGCGTCACGGTGCTCCACGGGTTGTCATCAGTGACCGTGGACGACAATTTATGGCCGATGTGGTTGAAGAAATTTTGCGCCTCTGTGGCTCCTCTTATCGCCACTCCACCCCTTACCATCCGCAAACTAACGGTCTCACTGAGAGAACAAATCGAACTCTCACGAATATGTTATCGATGTACGTTGATGCTGACCACAGGAACTGGGACGCCGTCTTACCGTTTGTTACTTACGCGTATAACACCGCCAAGCATGAAGTTACTGGACATTCACCCTTCTTTCTGCTTTATGCACGAAATCCACAGAGTTTTCGGGACACTCTATTACCTTTCTCGCATCAGGAAGATCTGTCCATCGCTCAGACGTTGTGTCGCGCTGAAGAAGCACGTCAACTAGCGCGCCTTCGAACATTGTCTTCGCAAGAACACAGCAAGAGTCGCTACGATGCCAAGCATATCCCCGTAGAGTTTTCTCCTGGTGACTACGTGTGGCTGTGGACTCCTGTTCGTAGAAAAGGATTGTACCGGAAGTTTCTAGCAAACTATTCCGGCCCATTCGTGATAGTCACTCGTCTCAGTGACGTGAATTACGTTGTCGCCCGAGTCACAGCCAATAACCGGCGTTCGCGCACTACGCAAGTTGTTCACGTATCCCGCCTCAAACAGTACCATCATAGACCTATTTAACTCGCTCGGCGAGCTTCGTCTGCCGCCGGGGGAAATGAAACGAAGATGCGCGAGCCTACGGGGCGCGGAAGAAGAAGAAGAGTAGTGGAGCGGCGCCTGGACTGTGTGGTTGGGTGGAAGCGTTCTTGGCCTGTCTCAGAAGTACGCTGCTATTTCACAACGCCTTTTCACCTCGTCTGTAAATAAACACAGTCACTCGCAACAATATATTTACGGATTGCGCACGGAATACACAGTATCCTTGAACCAAGATGGCAGAGTTGCAACAACAACACGAGCTTTTGTTCAATCGTCCTTTTCGTCGCCTTTATTGTGCATTCGTTGACATTAATGATGACTTGTATCAATAGTGTTACAAATAGCGTGGCGATAAAGTACTTACGATCCACCATGCAAAATGGATAACATGGTGCCAGTTTGGTAATATCCGAATGCGGCATCGTAATTCAAGCAGCTGCCAAGTGCAGCCGCGTTTAGGCGGCTGCTGTGTATTATAACCTCTGCAGGTTGAAGCAACGTCTCGGTGCTTCATTCACACAAATTTGGTTGAAGGAGGGTAATAGGGCTTGAGCCGAACCACTCTGACAGTGTCACTAGAAGCTTAGGATGACTTTTGGTGGGTTGGTTGGGACGATCACCTATGTAACGTCGGTCACCCAGTGAACAATGTGGTATAGTCCAGTGTAGTGTTGCAGCAGTTTCTGCAACAGCCCCACACGCCAAGTGGCTGACTAGAGAATCACGATAGAACCCGGAGAAAAGTGCTCGTCCCTGAATAACATTTGCAGAACTCTTTTTGGTGCTCCTGTGAGGCCTCCGGATTGTTTAGGGCGAGTTAGCGCGCGTGGTCGGCGCAGGTGATGGTTTCCCAAGCATATTAATTGGCCACGGGCAGCAAAGCGTCCAAGTAGCGTGTAATATATTTTGATGGTTTATACTATATTTATTCAATTATATGACTTGTGAAACTACCCATAGGATCTGTGTATCCAAATCTTGACCTTAAGCTGGCCTCTTTTTCGAGAGTGAGCAAACTGTGGCGCTATCTTTTAATCCGCACGCCCACTACTAAAGCTATTATTATTGTTTTGCGTTGCCACTTGTAGGTGGCCAGAGCGCCACCTAACTTCCGAAAAATTCGGCCAACTGCGTGTCTGGATTTTAAAGACAGTTTCGCAAACAGTATATTTGAATAACTCTGGTGTCTACTGAGTCCTACATAGTTTCTATTCAGTAAAAATGAGGTACATTGTCATCTAAGCATACCGCAGCCCTGACATGCAAAGTTCAGAAAATATCATCTAGACCTTGTCGTGAAATTACGAGAAATAAGATTTGAGTTTACCCACGTCACGAGCACAGATTTTGGCATGAGATTCAAAAAGTAAACATTATTCAGGATTTATTTTGCTAAAACTGAATTTAATCTTCTTACATTTGAGTTTTGTAAGTAAACTTTGTGAGTGTAAACCAAGTTACTATTTCAATTTCGTAATCTTTTACTCTGAATGATTCGTCTCTGAGTCGTATGGGTACAAAGAAATACTTTTGTGGCAGTAAACAAAAGTCTGAACTGTTCGTGATCCATTTTTGTACCCAGAGTAATATGTGTGAACTCATTGCTGAGGTGGACTCAACTGCTACAGTTATTTCAGAAAATGTTTTTCGTGATTTCGCGTTTCCTATCTCCGTGTCTCTCTCTAATTGGCTGTAATGTTTGTCATGTGTATGTGCGTTGTCGTCCTATTGTTTTCATGCTTCCAGCATGCCTATTAGTCGAACAAGTGCAACAATAAAGCGGGATTTTAAAGCCGCCGCGCGCTGAGGATGCTTGTAATCATCATTGTACTGAGTTTGAAATAAGGTTGTGCACTTCTCGCGAGAACTCTAGCTCCTTATTCCTCCTTCCATTCTTTTCTCGGCTCTTACGCTCCCCGGCTATCACGTTTGTTTTATAAAGTACCATGAAGTACTCGTCGACAAGGTTCGCTGGTATGTAGGCCCCAAAACTATTTCTAATTAGAATTACTCTCATAAACTACTGTACACACAACTTCACAGAATGACAGTGCCATATTTAAGAACAACATTGCTTCGTTTTATCGTAAGCGAGTGTGGAAAGTATTTTCCGCAATACTTACATGACTATGAGAGTGACTGCAAGAACAAGAGACGCCGAAGTACTGAAACGTAGCATTGTATGTTCCAACAGTGGCCTCTCCGTAGCATGCGGGAAGGCTTATCTTTGTTAAAATACTGGCTCTTTTATATAGGGAAATGGCATTTGCACAAACTAAAACAAAGATATCGCTACCTTTATTGCGTGCGAATAAGAGTATTGTATGAGCTTCATATTTTTACTAAGGCCTATCCATCTCTTATATTGATGAGGGTAGCATAAATTATGAATGACCCCACAAAACAATTCATAAGGGAGTTGAACAGGTTGTACAAGGCACCAAAGTTCAAGAGGCTCATAGACTTCCCAGAATCTAAAAAAAACTTTGATCGTGTAATCGAATTTCTAAATTCATGTACAGCTTTATACCCTTATTTTTTGTGTTTAATTCAAAGCACTGGCGCACAATCAGCCAAAATGCGTCAGTAAGAACGACATCGAAGTGCGCAACACACTATTTTTCTTTCCCGCAATGCATTTCTACCATGAAGCTGAAAACTTAGAAAAATGACTTGAGGAGCTCTAAATTTTTCTCTATCGAGCCTTACGCAGCCAATAACATTACAAGAAACATAGATTCTAGTTTTGTACTCGAACATAGCAACATCTGCAAGAAATATTCGTACATTCTCTCAAGTATACGAAATACATCTCGGCATAAGCGGCTGTCACACCTTCGAATAAACTTTCGAGCAAACATACCACGACATTCCCAAAACACGTCAGCTTCTGCCAAATGAAAAACAAAAAAAAACTTTTTTCGGCATTCCATTGACGTCACGTAACATTCATTCACGTCACGTAACATCAAATTTTAGATATGCGAAGCTAGCGGAAAGATCACAAGTGCAATGAGCATAGCATGTATTTATGTTGTTACATTAGAATAGCATGTATTTGTGTTGTTACATAGCATGTTACATGTCATTATTATCATGTTTCGACGTGTCATTCACTTTTGTCGTCTGTTTGCGTCACGTAATACGAATTTGGAATATTTGAAGCTAGCGAAACAGCCACGAGCGCATCATGAGCGTGGCATGTAGTCATGTTCTAACATGACACGCATCTCAAGACAATCATGTTTGCACCGGTCATATACCTTCGTCGTGCATTCACGTCCCGTAATACTAAATTTGGTATATGCGAAGCTAGTGAAACGACGTCGAGCACACCGTGAGCGTGGCGTGTAGTCATTACTTATGACTTGTCGAAATATGACAATCATGATATGCGTATCATGAAAAATATGACTACAAGCCACGATCATAGCGTGCTCGTGGCCGTGTCACCAGCGCCACATTTACCAAATCTAGTATAACGTGATGTGAATAGACGACCAAGGTAAATGACACGTTCTAACATGATAATCATAATATGCGTGGCATGTAAAACATGACAACATGCTGCGCTCATAGCACCCTCGTCGACGTTTCACTAGCCCCACATATACCAACTTTGGTATCACGTGACGTGAAAAGACGAGGAAGGTAAATGACACATCCAAACATGTTAAGCTTGACATGCGTGTCGTAAAACATGAATACAAGCTACGCTCATTGTGTGCTCGCGGCCGTTTCGCTTGTTCCACATATACGAAATTTGGTATCACGTGACGAGAATAGCCAACGAAGGTTAACAACACGTCCAAACATGATAATTATGATCTTGAATACATGTAGGGCATAATTTATGTCTGCATTGCAACGTTAATTGTGCTGATTTGAAAAATCCCGTAAACCGCCAACGAACACCCACGTGCAGCTTGGATTGGGCCAAGAGGGCAGCGGAAACTTACACCGGATAGGCTCCTCCCACACTCCACCACCACACCTTTTTCTCTTGTGATAAATAAAGCTTTCTCCTCCTCCTCCTCCCCATGCTTTTCCTGTATAGAGAACAGCTGACATACCGTCAACTGACGCTGCGTACTAGAGACGCTGTTATTGGGCAAAAGAAAGCCTGTTTTCCGCGAGCATATTCACGCGCCTGTAGCGTTTCCACCTTGGACGCTGACGAAGGTGGACAAACGAGTCAACGAACGTATCCTAGCGAAGGAAAGAGTGAAATGAGGAAACGGGTGGTACTCCACAGGCGTTCACTGCAGACTTTTACACAAGAGTGAGAAAAAACTATATATATATATATATATATATATATATATATATATATATATATATATATATATATATACAGATTTGGGTGCACGTTAAAGAACCCCAGGTGGTCGAAATTTCCGGAGCCCTCCACTACGGCGTCTCTCATAATCATATGGTGGTTTTGGGACGTTAAACCCCACAAATCAATCAATCAATATATATATATATATATATATATACTGCAACGAGTGAGGTGACGTAAAAACACAGGTTATTATTCGAGGAGCGTTAGCCGCAACAAGCTGGTACAGGCAGGAACTCGGCAAGCACGAGCCACACACGGGCATCAACTTCTCCTTTCACGCTGGCACTCAGCTGGCGCCACTATGCTCCGGTACAATTACTCCCAACGCAGGAAGGAGCCAACCTGGCGACATAGGGAAATGTCACGACAAGGGGGTCATAGCATGGTTTGAGGCGTGATACGTGTTCTGTTTCACGCCCACGGCAGCGTTGGTCTGAAGGTGAATCAATGGGCTACACTTCATAGTTGACAGGAGATGTTTGTTGCACCACATGGTAGGGGTCATGATATTTCGCCGAAAGCTTCGGGGAAAGACCAGGAGGGGTAGACGGGACCCAGAGTCAAGCCAGCATTCCTGGTTTATAGTGGACACTAGACGCAGAGGCGTCGTGGTCCACTTTCTGGCACCATTGGTATTGTGTGGTCAATGAGCGAGCGAGTTGACGACTCACTTCGGCATAAGCAGCTGCTTCGGAAATATCAGGCCTGTAAGAGAGAATGGTGTCCATGGAGCTTTATGACTCAAGATTGTACAGGAGGAAGAAAGGAGAAAAGCCAGTGGTTGTTTCGGGCACATAGTTGTACGCGTACGTGACAAAAGGGAGCACTTGGTCCCAATTGGTGTGGTCGTCCGAGACGTACATGGCAAGCATAAATCCAAGAGTACAATTAAAGCGTTCTGTCATGCCATTTGTTTAAGGATGGTATGCCGAGGTTTTCCGATGGACAGTGCGACATTCCTTGAGCAGCTCGTTGACGGCGTTTGGGAGAAACACGCGTCCACGATCACTAGGTAATTCACGAGGTGCACCACGTCGCAAAATGAGATGGTGAAGAAAAAAAGACGCAACGTCTATCGCAGTGTTAGCAGGCAGCGCAGATGTTTCAGCGTAGTGTGTCAAATGATTGACGGTGACGATAATCCACCGGTTGCCTCGAAGAGTGTCAGGTAGAGTACCATAAATATCAATTCCAATGCGGTCGAATGGTCTCGCTGGGCAGGTTAAGGGTTGCAAAGCGCCAGCAGTTCTGTGAGAAGGCGGCTTGCGTCGTTGACACGAGGTGCATGACCGAACGTACTGGCGAACGTGCCGATACATGCCGCACCAGTAGTATCTTAGCAGAAGGCGAGAGTAAGTCTTGAATGCTCCAGCGTGGCCACACTGGGGGTCATCATGAAATGCAGCGCAGAAGTTGGAGCACAATGAAGAGGGATGACAAGGAGCCACCTACGGCCGTACAATAAAGAGGGCACTTGAATCGGGAACGGAGTTGCACAAAAGAGATATCGCGGCGACCAAAAGAGCAGAAATGAGAAAGTCAGCGGCGACGATCACCTTTTTGGGTGAGCGAGGGAGATCTGTGAATGTCGTGCTGAATGGAAACAAAACGAGTTGAGCACAAGCTTAGTCGATGACCGCATGATTAGCGGAAAGAAAATTTCATCCCAAGATGATTTCATGAGACACATGCGGAATGACGACAAATTCAACAATGTAAAGCACTCCTTGAATCACAACACGAGCAGTGCGTGTGGCAGAAGGTTGGAGGTGTTGCGAACTCGCTGTGCGTAAAGAAATTTCAGCCAATGGAGTTGTCACGTTATTCAGTTTGCGGCATAACACTTCATGATTACACAAATAGCGGCACCTGTGTCGACAAGAGTAGTTGTAGCGAAACCGTCCACAAACACGGCAATCTCGTTAGGGGGCAAAAGATGAGGCCTTGGAAGTTTCGTCGGCGGCGCAGCTCTTGCCTCAGGAACTGCGACTGTTAGTTTTTCTCCTGGGCGTGGTTGGAACGGTGCAGCATGGGCGAAGGATACCGAAGACGGGGTGAAGGAGATCGACGTCGGCTGAAGTCTAATCGACGTGAGCGGGGACCATGTGCATCAGGTGTCGCATGCGATTCTGATTGCCGAAGTATGTTGCCGGAATGGTGAGCATCATTAAAATAGAATCCACGGCGACGACAATAGCGCGTGACATGTCCTGGATTTCCTCAGTTGTAGCAGACGGGCTGGTTATCCGGAGTAGGCCAAGAGTTTGCAGGTCCTTGAGGTGGTGGAAAGGGCCGATTTACCGGATAAACCGAAAGTGGTGACCTGTAGTAGTTGGTGGCTGGACTGTATCAAGGGAGCGGCGGTTGGGCCGGAGGTCGGTGGACGGCTTCTGCATAAGTCAGCGTTGCAGCAATTAATATTGGGGGCGCGGGCGAAGGGAAAGCCTCGGCAACTTGCGTCTGAATAGCATGGTGAAGCGAGTGGTCCAGTGCTGTGGGGGTCTCATTGATGGTGGCGACGAAAGAATGCTGTCGAGCAACTTCCTCTCGGATGTACTGTTGAATTTGAAGCATTAACACGCTGTAGTCGGGGCCACTGCTTTTGCACTCCAAAGACGAAATATCAACTGTTTTCGTATTAGCGCTACGTGTAGAACTTTGCTGTTTGCGCAGCTCATCGAAACTCTGACATAGCTGAATCACGGCTGTGACGGTCTGTGGGTCCTTGGCCACAAGCATATAAAAAGCGTCGTCATTTATGCCTTTCAATATATTCTTTATTCTGTCCGCCTCCGTCAACCTCGCATCAACTCTCCTACTGATGCTGATCACATCTTCAATGTAGCTCATGAAGCTCCCATAATTTCGCTGAAATCGTCCCCGCA